GTTTGAATGGTAAACGATCTACCCTCTAACAAGTGCCGGAAATGGTGAATAGCAAGGCAAATTGTGAGTAATTCACGACCAAAAGTACTGTAACGCGTTTGGGCAGCCTGCATCTTCTGCGAGAAAAAGGCTAGTGGTTGAGATGCGGTTTTAACAACTTGATGATGTACGGCGCCAACGGGAGCGTTCGAAGCATCAGTCGTCAAAATGAGCTTTGTGCTTTCATGAGTATCGAGGACAGATAGCATTGTGGCGTGGGCAATCGTTTGCTTGAGTCTTTCGAAAGCGGCAATGGCGGCGGGGTCAAAGTAACAGACTTTTCTTTGGAGTCGAGTAAATCGGTCAGTGGCTCCAAAATATCTGCACAGTGAGGGATGAGTCGCCGGTGGTAGTTGATGATACCTATGAAACGACGAAGTCGGGTGAGAGTGGTGGGTATGGGAAAACTCTAGGTCCAAAATTCGATCGGCTACTGGTGAAATACCTGTGACGTCAATGTGGTGACCATGATAATCCTGGCTAGTAACACCGAATAAGCATTTGTCAATGTTCAAACGTATGTTGTAAGTGGGAAAACGTTCAAACCCTGCTCTGAGGTGAGCTGCATGTTCAGCTGGGGAGGTGCTTGCGACTAAAGCATCGTCAAGATAGGCATACGCAAACGGTAAGCCACGCAAACCTCGTCCATGAAACGTTGAAACGTTTGGGCTGCATTTCGAAGACCAAAGGGCATACGCGTGGATTCGAAAAGGCCAAACGGTGTTGTGATGGCTGTTTTCGGAATCTCATCCGCGGCTACGGTTATGTGGTAGTATGCTCTTACGGGATCGAGTTTGGAGATGTTTGTATGGCATAGGGTACTTGCGAAATGGTGGATATGTTGGATGGGATACCTGTCTAGGATAGTAACGTTTTTAAGCAAACGGTATTCTCCACAGGGTCTCCAATCACCTTTAGATTTCTTAGGTACCATATGTAGGGGTGATGACCAGTGACTCGATGTGGGGCGGATGATGCCGAGTTCGAGCATGTATTCGAACTCGTGTTTTGCGATTTGTAGCTTATCCGGATGAAGTCGGCGGGGGTTGGCATGGACAGGTGGACCTCTCGTCTGAATGTGGTGAACGACGAAATGAGTGACCGGTTGGGTGTACTGCATGTATTACATTGTAATGTATGTACTGTAATGGGTCAGGAAATCAGCACCGATGGTGGACAGGTGGACCGTCTGAATGTGGTGAACGACGGAATGAGTGACCGGTTGGGTGCACTGACATGGGTGAGTAAGGTTTGGAAAATCCCTAAGTAAGTATGCAAAATGTGAATCCGGTAAGATAACTGGGATACCTGTGGATGAAGTTGGGGCATTAATTCCGTTGACTGAGAGGGAAGTAAGCGTGTCTAAGAGACGTTTGTGTCGCACGTGGACAGATAGATTGTAGTGGGTCAGGAAATCTGCACCGATGATGGGTGTTTGGACGTCGGGGAAAAAGGAAGATCCACTTGAACGCACGTCGCAATCCGAGGTCAAGGGTGAGGGAACGTTCGCCGTATTTAGCGATGCGGGTACCGTTAGCGGCTTGTAGGGGATACCAGCGTTGTTGAGAGAACGGTAATCTCCACAGGGTCTCCAATCACCTCTAGATTTCTTAGGTACAATATGCAGGGGTGATGACCAATGACTCGATGGAGGGCGGATGATGCAGAGTTCGAGCATGTGTACGAACTCGTGTTTTGCGATTTGTAGCTTATCCGGATGAAGTCGGCGGGGGTTGGCATGGACAGGTGGACCTCTCGTCTGAATGTGGTGAACGACGGAATGAGTGACCGGTTGGGTGCACTGACATGGGTGAGTAAGGTTTGGAAAATCCCTAAGTATGTCAGCAAAATGGGAATCCGGTAAGATAACTGGGATACCTGTGGATGAAGTTGGGGCATTAATTCCGTTGACTGAGAGGGAAGTAAGCGTGTCTAAGAGACGCTTGTGTCGCACGTGGACAGATAGATTGTAGTGGGTCAGAAAATCTGCACCGATGATGGGTGTGTGGACGTCGGGGAAAAAGGAAGATCCACTTGAACGCACGTCGCAATCCGAGGTCAAGGGTGAGGGAACGTTCGCCGTATTTAGCGATGCGGGTACCGTTAGCGGCTTGTAGGGGATACCAGCGTTGTTGAGAGAACGGTAATCTCCACAGGGTCTCCAATCACCTCTAGACTTCTTAGGTACAATATGCAGGGGTGATGACCAATGACTCGATGGAGGGCGGATGATGCAGAGTTCGAGCATGGGTTCGAACTCGTGTTTTGCGATTTGTAGCTCATCCGGATGAAGTCGGCGGGGGTTGGCATGGACAGGTGGACCTCTCGTCTGAATGTGGTGAACGAAGGAATGAGTGACCG